GCATATTTTAAAGGCTGCATAGTACTGTATAACTGGTTACAGCATGAATTGATTTGCTAAATCTGTTCCCCTCTTAGTCTACATTTAGTGTCTACCTAATGTATTATCATGCCTATACACATATATTGTTATGCCTATATCTCAATACTTTCTTAGGTAAAATTCTTGATCTTAAAATAGTGTTAGACGTACAGTACTACATATGAATATACATCATAGTTTTAGGATATAGTAAATCTTTGATTTTGGTGGGAAAATTATTATAGGGTTCTTTGGAGCTAAAATCAGCAATTATGATGTGATGAAGGTTGCTGAATTTATCTTGCCCCTTAGAGCACTTTGTACCCCTAATATGTCTAGATTTTTGTGTAGCTAAAATAATCCACTAGTCTCAGATGGTTAGACCAGAACGGTTTGTTTTGATGGTTGCACTGTTTGTAATGATCAGTATATATGGTCAGTTATTATGTTGGACACTTCAGAATTCCTGGAGTGGTCTTCTCCTCAGGGCCAGTTTATGTGTCTGGAATGGTGAGTTTTGTGTCCTTTCCGTCTTTCCAGAAAGATGAATTTGTGTAGGCTCATGAGCTTTGATAAAGCCATACATACTCTAACCGGGGATGTAGTTCTGGTGCATGTTTGGCAAATGCAGGCATGTAAATGGGTAGAAAAAGCTGTTACTGCCTCTTACAGGAACATGGAGCTATTAGTTATTAACACTGTAATGTTTTCGATCTGTTTACTTAGGCCAATTACGGGGCTTTCATAAGAGTGGAAATTCAGGCATAGCTTGCCCTCAATCCAACCCTTTCTGGAACCTAGACTTTTCTCATAGATGGAGATGGGCCTCCTGTAAGTTTTCTTCTCTGTATAACAAAAGCAAAACCGAGAGCATCACATAGCAAATACAGGAGGCGCTCAAATAACATCATTTCATTCAATGCCTTTTTGTTATAAGGCTGATGAGAAAAAAGTTGATGTTCGCTGGGGCCACTGTCTGTGTGGAGTTTGCACGTGCTTCCCATGTCTGTGTGAGTTTTCTGTGGATACTCCGGTTTCCTCTCACATCCCAAAGATGTGCTTACTATGTGAACTGGCGTATCGATCTGGTCCCAGTGTGAGTGAGAGTGGGTGTGTGCGTGAGCGTGCCCAGCGGTGGATGGGCGTCCTGTCCAGGGTAGGTCGTGGTCCTGCACTCTGAGCTGCCAGGATAGGCTCAAGGCCACCTTTGATGTTGAACTGGGATCATTGGGTAAATAATTACCTTACTTGTTTGTGTTAGTCTTTCTTAAATGTTTATGTCAATGTTTAATATTAGAAGTGTTTCGGATCTTTATTTAGAAGTATAGTGATGTTTTTGTGACCAGAAATATGCCATTGGAACTTAACTCTTGCTTGTATCACTTAGCCTATGGTAAAATTGGTTTCCTTATAGTCTTTGCATTTAAAGTGGCAATTTCCAAGAACCTATTGATGACATTAAGTGAGGACTTACTATATCTGTATTCTACTAAGTGTTCTCCTATGTTATCTCTTTCCTCACCACAGTAATTTTTCTACATAGGGGATTGAATAATAT